CTGTCAAAAGATGGGCACTTTGTTCTCATTGTCAGGCCTGAAATGACAGTGTGTGCTTATTGCCTGCTCATGCCAGACATTTTAGAAACGAGATGGTTAAGGTTTGTCCTACAAATAATATTGTTCCTAATAAAATAAGTTACATACAGATACATGTCTCTCGAAGGTGAGAGAGAAGAAAGGGAGAAACAGAGGGAGAGCATCAGTCCAAGAGTCCCCAGGGATTGGGGTGCGCCGGCCGGCGGGCTGTTTCGGGAGCTAGGGATCCCGAGGGGCCGGTTAGAGACGGGGGGAGCTCTTAGAAGGTGCGCGTCCGTGTCAGGGCCCCGTTCACCTTAAGGGCCACCAGAAGAGCAGTGGGAGAGGTGGCTGACACAGTTTAAGGTGCAAAAACATTTAATATCTTTTCTGTTCTTTGAAAGAAATTCATAGATGTTGTAGCATTTCGTGCAGAAGGCTTGGCTCTGAGAATTACTGATGAGGTTTTGCAAGTAGAATTTCTCTAGGGGGCTGCTTGATGGTAAAAAAAAAAATGTTGGTTTCATTTACTTGATTTTTTTGGTTTCTGGTTATATTGAGATATACTAAGTATGATTATACTTAGTTCAGCTTTCTTGTTTACATTTGCCATTCCTGTTTCCACGTTACCTGGCCTCCGGAGGTTTTGCAGGACATTTGAGTGCCTTTTAGTTGGGCAGAGAAGGGACACAGGTGGGACACCTTCGCTCTTCCGAGGGCAGAGGGAATGAGGCTGCTGCTCAGCTCTGTTGGCTCACTTGGGAAAGTGAAAATTTTGATCTGCCTAAGGCAGAAGAGGGGAGGCCAGAATTCTTTAAATTGAAATTTAATCAGACCGCTAACAATGTAATAGACTTTTATAAAAGTGGGCAGTAAATTTCAATGGCAAGGGAAAACATGAATGAAATCAACCAGGAGCTGTTTATTATCTGTTAACCCAGCAAATACGAAAAAAAGACAGTTTTGGCAAAGATGGGATGAAAATAATGTCCTTGCCCAATACAGGTAGTGATGAGAGTTGTAACATTTTTAGAAAGCAGTTTTTCAGTCTATGACAATTTTTCACAGTCTTGGACCATTTCTGGAATTCTATTCTTAAAAGTGATTTAAAGCATAAAAACAATGTACATAAAAATGTTTACTGTAATATGTTTTTTTGTAATGTTAAGCTATAATACCCTTAATGTACAACAACAGAGGAGTGATTAAATCTTGGAGCATCAAACATTCCATTGCATCGATGAAATGCAATTAAAAATGGTGCCAAAGATTGTAACAACATGGGCAAGGATTTTTGACAGAAAAGAGCAAAACACAACCATATGTGATGTGCATTTATGCCATGAATATAGCTATATTATAATTAGCTGTGCATTGAACAAAGTCTGGGAGGAAATAGGAAAAATGAAAAACTGTTGATACATTAAGGTGGCGTCAGTATAGTGAAATTTAGATATCTTTATTTGCTATCCTTCTGTGCAATAATGAAAAATTTTAGACAGTCTTCTAATGTTATGTGCTTATGAAGTACGTTCAATATTGCATTAATTGGGAATTTAACTGTTTGGTATAAAGAATGTTTTTGCCCCTAATGGATAGCTATTGTTTAAAAACTATTTGTTGAGTGGAACATTCTTTCCCCCCTGATTTGAAATGCCCCCCTCATTACATAATTTCCATGCATCTGTTTCTTGATGCTGTGCCACCATCGCACTCTTTAAATGACCCTGGTTTTATTGAATGTTTTGGTTTGTGAGGGGTAAGTTCTGATCCTTCCCACCCCCAGCTCAAGCATTCTTTCTCGAATCATTTGTTTCTAGTCTTGTGTATTTATTTTTACAGATGGACTTTAGAATAAGCTTGTTGAGTTTCATTTGAAAAATTCAGTTTGGGTTTTGATTAAAGTACATTAAATTTATAGATTAATTTTGGGAGATAATTGTGCCTATTATGCCTCTTATTGTTTCCAGAAGTTTCTGTAAAATAGCCGAGTGATTTTTTATTTGGGATATAGTGAATTGACAGAGAGGCGATAACACGTCTCTATTATTTCTGTGTAGAAACAGAGTGATTCTGGTACTGATGCCAACAAATTCACTTAGGAAAGTTTACAGTTTTCAATTGCTTAAAACAGAGTATGCAATTGAATCCAGATGGAGGAATGATGGAGGCACGGTGGAATTCTGTACACTCCAGTTTGTCTTTGCCATTAATAGGATCAGGGGCCTTTTCAGTAAAGTGGCTGGTTTCCAGTGGCCACAGTGATGAGAAAGACCCCAATCTTAGTGAAAAACTGTCACCTGTGGCCGATGGCCTTGTACCTTGTTCCTCTGCATGTTTTTTGGAAGCCATGCCTCCTGCTGATCTCCTGTGTAGCTTTATCTAACTTTTCTGAATGACAGTCTTTCATATTCATATTTTCTTTCCCAGTCTTCCTCTTTCTCTCTCGCCACCTCCTCCCTTGCGGCCCCCTCTCTCTTCTAAATCACTGGGTCTCTCTGTTGGTGGTTTATTATCAACCCCCTCCCCTCCTTCTGTAACGACACTGTCTTTTCTGATCTCTTTACAATTAGCAAATAAACTCTTTTTATGCTGAATATTATTCTTGATGCTAGGACTTCTGGGCATCTCTCTTTAATGGACACATGTCATTTCTGACCTGATTGCTGTTTATCTTCTTTTATCAACGTAAAGATGGTATGGCCTTGAAAGGGAGGCATAACTGAATGTAAAACTGCTGCCTTGGTTTGCAGTGGGGGGCTGCAGCTCAGCTCCTTCGCAAGTTGCAGTTCTGTTCACCCAACCAGATAAAATAGTGATGTGATTGTTGTTTTGAGTAGAGACAGACTAGATATCCTTGTGATCTGTGAAAATCTTTGATCTGTTTACACAATATGTTTTCTATTTGAAAAAAACCCAGCAGGTCAGGTCAGATTCTGCCTGTGAGTAATTAGCAGTCCCTTTAGCAACCAGGAACACGGCTAAAGCTGCTCTTCGTTTTTTAGGAAATGGAATTTCGTCTAAGTTTCCTCTCTCAGTCATGTCAGACTTTTGTTATTGTTGTGTGGTGTTTTTTTTTTTGCCTTTCAGATCCTCTTCCTGAACTTTTTTTGAAGCTATTGTATGGTAGATTTTTCTTGGCATGTTGCTTTCTATTGATTATGTTTGTGCTCGTGTGTGCGAGCTCACACGCAGAGAAAGGACAATTCAAAATTGGAAACCAGTGGCTTATTTTAGAACTCTACAGTTTGTATTTATACCAAGTCAAAATTTAAGATAGTGTTTCGTGTGTGTCATGGATTGCACACTACTAGAGAAACATAGCCTTTTTATTTTTAAAATTTTAGAAGAAATTACCATGTGGTTACTGGGAAGAGGAGCTCCACCCCAATTTTGTTTTTGATAGTGATTGGCCTAACTCGAGATCCGAGGGAATCTCATGCTAATATCCATCAAAGGCAAACAGCTGTTTAAGAGACTGTAGACTTTTCTCTGCTCACTTTCCTCCCCATTGCAGGGTGAGGCTTGCTCCAAGGGTGGGTTTGTTTTTGTTGGGCCGGCACACAAAAGCCCAGATGCTCCACACTGGGCCGAGCTCTGGAGGCCCTCCAAAGTGGGCGACCCTTCCCACCTCCGGGTTTCCATTTCCCTGCCACTCCCACAGGCTGGGCGGAATGTACCCTCTCCCTGGAGGCCCCCTTTGTATTGCCCTTTTTATGTGTGAGGGGAGGGAGTGTCCCGAGTCCTTCAAGGTCGCAAGACCACCTGGCAGGCTCATCCCCCGCTGCTGCCCCTTGCAAGCACTGCTGATGTGGCCCCCACACAGCCCCGGGCGGTGGTGCATTGGAGAGCTGGCCTGCGGCACCTGCTTCCTTCACCTTCCCTCCTTCCTCAGAGTGTGTCTTGGTGACTCAGGGGGCAGCTCCTGTCTTTGGGACCAGGGCACTGAGCAGGGCCCTGTTCCAGCCAGGAGCTCTCGAGAGAAAGTGTGAGGCCAGGCCGGGTGAGAAAGGGAACCTGGAAACCCCTCGGAGAAGACAAATAGCTATTGGAAAAGGCCCAGCAAGCGTGGGGTGATGGGGTGCCGTTTATTTGGCGATGTGTGCGCATATTTAAGGTTCTCGCACCCGACGGTGATGTTGGTAGTACAGGGGAAGGCCAGAGCTAAAGAATACTTACTGTGACTCTTTACGCCACGGTGGTGTCTCGGAGAGAGGAAAACATGAACACAAGCAATGGTGTTCATCAGGGAGGAATTCAAACGGAGTAAAAGGCAGAGCGCCACGCGTTCACCTCCTGCAAATGAAAATAAAACTCTCCCCGGCACACCACACTTCAGCTTTAAAGACAGAGCAAACGAGCTCTGACCCTCACGCTTCAGTGTGTCAGAAAGCATCTCCCCATCACCAAAATGTGGTTGAAAAGGATTTGTGCTCTTCGGGCACCCTCGCACGAGGCGGACGCGACAGACGCCCTGGTTGGGACGGTCCCTTTCACTGTGGTGCCTGGGAGCCAGGATGCGGAAGTGTGACGCCCCCCCCTTGTTCGTTTTTCAGGGGCAGATGCCGGTCACTGCGAAGTTTGGCAAAAATGTGTATCTTCCTAAAGATGCCGAGTTTTACTTTATTTACGACGGATCCCATCAGAGGCACATCGTGATGGCAGAGCGCACGGGGGACAGCGTTCTCCAGTCCCGCGTTCCAGGTGAGGCGCCGCCTGCCGCGCGGCCGCGGGTCAGCCTGCGCACCTGCCCGCAGGGGGTGGGGGGAGAGCCGCAGGGGAGGGTGGACAGCGCCCCCTCTCCCGGGCGTGCGGGTGTGCGGGTGTGCAGGTGTGCGGGAGTGCGGGTGTGCGGGTGACTGTGCGGGTGTGCTGGAGTGCGGGTGACTGTGTGGGAGTGTGGGTGTGCGGGTGACTGTGCGGGTGACTGTGCGGGTGACTGTGCGGGTGTGCGGGTGTCTGTGCGGGTGTGCGGGTGTGCAGGTGTGCAGGTGTGCTGGAGTGCGGGTGACTGCGGGAGTGCGGGTGTGC